AAAAAACTTACTTAGAGGTATAATGTAAAATGTAAGGTGACTGAAGTTCCCACTAAAGTATAAGGTATCATCAATATTGAATTACACTGTAGGTAGGTAACTTGTGCTGAATCCTGGCATCAGATCTTTCCCTGAAAAGTTTTTTTTGTTTTATTTTTTGTTTTTTTGTTTGTTTTTTTTTTTGAGACGGAGTCTTGCTCTGTCTCCCAGGCTGGAGTGCAATGGCCGAATCTCAGCTCACTGCAAGCTCCACCTCCCGGGTTCCCGCCATTCTCCTGCCTCAGCCTCCCGAGTAGCTGGGACTATAGGCGCCGCCACCTCGCCCGGCTAGTTTTTTTTGTATTTTTTAGTAGAGACGGGGTTTCACCGTGTTAGCCAGGATGGTCTCGATCTCCTGACCTCGTGATCCGCCCGTCTCGGCCTCCCAAAGTGCTGGGATTACAGGTTTGAGCCACCACGCCCGGCCCCCTGAAAAGTTTTAATGACTAAAGAGGCAAAAGAATTCAAAGATACTGCTCCTAAAATGCCGTGTGAGCACAGAATGATGTAAATGGCCCCAGAAGAGACTCTTGTACATGCCTGCAGATACACTGTCCCCACGTAGTTCTTGAGACTGGTCCTGTGGTCCAGGAGCCAGGACTTGCATGGGGTTCTTTAATAACCATCCTCTGCTCTGTCCATTATGTGCTTTGGAGCTAATAAAGCCACCATCCCCCAAATGAGGTTAATGCCTTGTGGGGTTGGTAAATATCACTTTGACACATTTAGCGAGAGAAATAATATCTGTAGGTTAGGAGTTTCTGAAATTTTTCAAGCTGTAATTGTGCTTCTGCTTATAAAAAGCCAGTTTGGATGTCTTAAGCCATTAATATGTTGGCCTCATTCCTGCCTTATTCCTTTGCTATGAAGGCTTTTTATGTATTTTAGCTTTTCTGTTTCTTTGTTTGTGAATGGTATCCCTCTCCCTCCCCTTTTCTAGTAATGCTGTTGCTTTATCTCTTTTCCATTCATATTTTTTTCTTTCTTTTTGCTGCATGGAGACTCTCTGCTGTACAAGTGTAAGTATTTTTTGGTGGCTTTGCAGTTTCTGGCTCTACTACTTTATATTCTTGTGCTCCATTTGCTTCTGTGCTGCCTGGCTGGTCTCCCAGGAGACTGTAGTGTCGTCGTCCATCTGCAGATCCTGAATGAAATAGGCAACAATTTAGAGACAAGATTGGATTTTACAAGATGGTTCAGCTAGCAAAACAGGCGATGAATTTAAAATATCTCCAGCCATGTGTCTGAAAGCAAGCAGAGTGTTGATGAAGAGGATACAAACATTCAAGAGGAGACAAGTGCTTATTCCACTCATGTAATAATAATAATAATAATAACATTACTTTTAAGGTTTTTTCCTGATTCTTGTCATATTACTTGTTTTGGGCCCAGGGTTGTAGAAAATCGATGTTATAATTTGCTTCTTATATTAGAAGAACTTTCCTAATCTTCTTCTCAACTGGTATTGTTATGATTTTTTTTTCTTTCTACAGCCTTGGTGGTGAGGGGGAAGTAATTATGGATTCTTGAGCTTGGAATGCGAGTGTTATTTATTATTTTTTGAGCAAATGGTGACAAAAACAAAGCATCTCTTTATATTTTTATAGTGACATCAGCAATCTGACTCTCATTTTTAAAAAAAGCGTGTCTAGGAATTACATGTTAAAAGTGGGTTTGACAGGAAGAAAAAGGTTATATTATTTGTAAGGTTCCAAGATTAGTCTTTAACTTGTAGTAAAAGTAGACATATCTCAATTGAGCTATGTGCAGAATAGTTTAAAATTTATTATAAAAATTTGATCAAAGGAGTACAATTTCAGAGTAATGTAGACATTGATGCTTTTGGATTCTCAGAAAATAGAGTTATGACCTTTTTGTTCACAGTGTCTGCCACAATGAGGATTTATTGATGATTTGTGATGTTAGGACAAGAAAGAAGTCTGTGTTTAAGATTTTCCTGCTAAAATTACATTTAAAATAAGGGTTTAACACATTTTTCCTCATATTTCTTTAGGATATGGGTATTGAAAATTATACCTTATTGCTTACAAGATGCATTTTTTAAGATAAGTTAATTTTGTCTAGGCCTCAAGTTGACAGTGTTAACCATTGATTGATGAGAGGTCCGTTTGCAGTATGTACCTCTTCTTTTTCAAATGTTGACCCCCTTCATCTGATGAATAGTTTGTGATTTCTCTGACTCAGAAAATACTTAGGCATTAACAGATGTCAGGGAAAGGTCAATAAGGACTAAGAAACAGTTTGAAAAAATTGACCTTTCATGTTGGTACCAAAAGAGAAGAGAGCTAACCGTGTTAAAGAAGATGGTAAAGTCAGATTGTTTTCTTTTTCTGGGATGTAATTCAACAACCCAACAGTTGTGGAGAGGAGGAGGAAGGAGTTCAAATAAACCAAATTTCTAGACAAACATTAAATATTTGCTCCTAAATATACCCTTAGGTGGATAATTATAGTACGTTTTTATATTTCCTCTTGCTTTAGGTTTATATGTAATGGCATTGTAGGAATAAGCCAATAAGATTAAGGAAGTCCACATTTTCTGTAAAACTAAGGAAGAATTACTTCCAAAGAAAAGCAATAAAAATATGAGAGAAATGAGATTGATTTTTTTTCTCTGTTGTCACACTTAAATCCCATGAGGGAAAGATATAGAAGCTGGGTTACCTTCTTAATACCAGTTGTAGAAACTAGCCTGATTACAAATTCTATTTTAACAAAAGACCATTGACTCTGTGCCAGAACTTCAGAACTAAAAGATATGATGGGTATAGTTTTATGGGAAATGTAATTAGAAGTTACTTACCCTTGTAAAAAGCACACAAAGTAAAGGAAAGCAAGTGAAATACATTAGAAGTGAGTTTTTCTGATATTCAAGCTTTCTATATTGGGCTTTGAAGCATTGGAAAACAAGACCAAGAGGAGAAAACTAGCTCCCCTTTGAGTGATATCAACCGTCAAATTATCCTGATGATTTTGTGTGTTTCTTAATTATGTCTATGAAATGAAATTAAGCTGAATAACCTGTTCACAGATAGACATGAGCTTGTAAATGTGATTCTTTCTGTACATATTATATATTATGTCATTTATTTTATATATAGTACATATTTTTATATGTTTAAAATTATAATATATTTGCAATATAATTTTTATATGTTTTACATGTATTTGGTATCATAAAGGCTTTCATGATATGGAAACTTAAACTAGACTATTTTTGCCCATGAATACACTTTCTGTAAAATCTAATCAAGAGTCAGGGAAATAAAAAAAGACATCTTCAGTCCATGCATTTTTAAACATCTTTCCTCTTTATTTGTGACAATCTAAATGAAATTGGCTAAAAAATATATCTGGAGCTACTTCTTGATTATTTTACCTACCACGGTTGTGCATAAGATGGATAGAATACTGAAGAACTTGTTGCAACCAAACACAGCATATGTTTTGATAGCTTGTATCTCCTGAGAATTATTTTCAGAGATATCACTTGTGAATAGACCAGGCAGGCCACTAACTTCTTCAGCCAACTGCATGGCTAACTTTGGGGAGAACTGCCTTAAACTGGATTCCTTTCCATTTGCATTGGGTTAGCTGAGTTTTTATTGAACCCGCAAAGCCTGTTACTTTATAAATAGCTTTTTCTCAGATTGTCTGCCTTTAACGAAACCTTGAAAAAAGTCAAATCAGCAAGTTTCATTTTGTATTTTAGGAAAACAAGTCTGGATTTCAATACAATTGCTAATCATTTTTTTATCTCCTTTTTCTCTCAACAATACATAATAGCAAAACGATATTATTATTAAAACTGACATAATTGTCAAAACTATAGATTTGTTTGCTTTAAAGATCAGTATCAGCCAGTTTCTCCTTGGAGCTAAAGAATGTTTTTCAATCATGTAGATTTTTTTTTTTTGAGGAAGCATTAGATGAAAACCTATTAAATGAAATGAAAGTATGCAAACTAAGTTCTTTCAGTTACATTACCTCCTGGTTTATACACATACCAATTTCCTGATATCAAACCAGTGAAAACATCCCTAACATCCATTCATCTGTGTGTGGGTCATGAATTATGTGGCAGGAAGGATGCTGGCCTGACCCTCCTCACTGGGTTCTGTCCATGGCTCTGCTCCTTCTGACAACATGAATGTTAGCCTTTGTCACCTCTGTAACTCGATTTCATCCTTGGAGTTGATTTGTGTAGGTGATGGCAAAGCTTCCCTCCATCTTTGACATTTGTGTCATCCTATTGAGGGAGAAGATAGTGCCTTTCTGAGGGTTGGCTTTGCACCGTAAACAGTTGACACCAGTGCTAGGAAAGTGCTCTTCAGTTTCAGCCCTTGATTTGAGTTTGGGTTTCATTTTTTAGAGGATTGACAGGATCAAAGACATTTCACTGAGAAGTGCCAACAGATACAGATTTTTGAATCCTAGCACCTTTTCCTGGTCTTTGCCCATGATGTAAAGATCAAAATCTTGGGGGCAAAATGTGAAACAAGAGAGTGAAACTGCTTAAATCATTGACGTGACACAGAAAGAGGTCAGGGTTGCTTACACTGATGTTACTATGAGAGTGATCAGTGAATAGTAGTGTTTTCAGTTTTTCGTGACTGATTTTTACAGTCTTTGATTTTTATTTTTGTATCCATTTTAACATCCTCTTATACAGCTTGGAATTAAATTCATTCATTGTTCTTTTCAGCTATATAAGTGGAATTCAACTGGTTAGGGATGGAGGAACAAAAGAAAGAGGTTAGCTGTATCATTTGAGAAATTGTAAACATTTAGAAATAGTTTGGTCTTTTCAGTCAGGCTTTCAATCAACCTCTAAAGCAGAGAAACAACTACTGAGTTAAACAATCGATCCAGAATGTTTCAGAAGTTTGAAAGGCGGCTACCTAAGTGTTTTTTTTTAATTATTGTTATTTCATTTCTAGATGACCCCTAAATCCAAAAGGAAGAGTATCCATAGCCGAATGCTGCGGCCTGTTTCTAGGGCTTTTGGTAAGTGTTTTGCTGCTGCCAGTGATTTTCTTGGCACCGTGAAGCACCCTCAGCAAGACCTTAGACCATTTTAGGGATGTTCCTTATGGATGCACTGCATGGGTAATTATTGAGAAAGAGTTAAGTGATCTGTGAATGGGTGTTTGCTGTTCTATGCTAGACTTAAAATTACTTTTAGGAATTTTTTATCCATCTCCATTCATTAAGCTTTGGCCTTGGGCTGTTTTTTGTTTTGTTTTTTGCTTTTTGTTTTTTAATTTTAGAAATGGAGTTTGATCTAGATAAAGCGCTAGAAGAGGTGCCAATTCACATCGAAGACCCGCCCTTCCCGTCCCTCAGACAGGAGAAGCGGAGCTCGGGATTTATCTCTGAGTTGCCTTCTGAAGAGGGGAAGAAGCTGGAACACTTTACCAAGTTAAGGCCAAAAAGGAATAAGAAGCAGCAACCCACCCAAGCAGCGGTAGGTGGACTGGAGAGGCCCCATCTCTCACACCCTTTCCTTCTCTGGGGAAAGTTGGAGGGGTCTTGCTAAAGTGCTTTGCACAAACATGAAAGCTATGGTTGAGGAGACTAGAACCTCTTTGCATGAGATACACAAAGTATCTCAACTTGATGCTCAATAATTATGGAGAATGAACAGATTGTGTCACTTAAATAAAACAACATAATTGTGGAGAAGACAATGCTGTAAAATTTCCAATTCTTCAGAACAGAGCTGCCCTTGGAAATCCTTAGATAAGGATTATCTAGGGTAGGAAATCCTTATTCTAGATAAAGGTCTCTAGCACTTTACAGTGTCAGGGCAAAAAAGATACAAGTACCAAAAGAATTAATTGGTAATTAAAAATTGTTTGATTCTGGAGTGTACACATGCATTCCCCCCTCCACAAACTGATGTAACTGAAGTGTTGGAGAAGAGCCCTAAGTGGGAGCCCCGGTGTGTGACTCTTGACATCCTGCTCTTTCTACGCCAGTAGAAGACTCAATTGTGTGTGCTGATGAGCCTTATTGTAGTTTGCCCATGTCTCTCTCTGGTTAATGTCTTTTCTCTCCTTTATAGCTAAACTTCTTGAAAAAGTTTGCCTGTGCCAACTGTCTCTACTGCCTCTCTTCTTCGCCTTCCTGTCACTCCACAATTTACCAAAATCTTCCTTCTGTATCTACCCACCCTTGAAACCATCCTCCCAAGGTCACTCCATACCAAATCCCATGGACTCTTTTCAGCTGTCCATCATCTTATTTGATGTTTTAGCAGCTCCTTGACAGAAAGCTCTGTCATTCCCAACAGGAGATTTCTCGTTGATCTCTGAGTCATCACACTCCTTTCTTTTCCACCCACCTCTCTAGCGGTGTCCTTTCAGTTTTCCCATCAGACCCATTTAAGTTTTTTATTGTCTGTCTGGGTGATGTCATCTGAACTCATGGTTTCAGTCTCTGTTGTTGACTGTAGATTTCTGGATATCCACTTGCCTCCTAAATTTGAATGAGTACCTTGGGCTCAAAAATTTGAAACTTAGATCCCACCTTTCCCTATAAACCTGCCCTTCTCATATCCCCTGTTCTTCTTGGGACATCATCAGTTGACAGGTTAGAAAGCTGAATATGATCCTGATCACCAGCTCTCCCTCTTCCTCCTTGCTATGGCTACCTCCCATCCTGAGCTCCAGCCCTGTAATGCTGCATCTCTTTTCTTATTGCTTCCCTCCATCTCCTGGGCTGAGAACTACTTTCAGATTTTTTACATCTCCACTACGTCTCTTTTGATAGTGGAGAACTATCCACTTCTCTATACTCTGTCCACCAGTGCTCTGGGAAAAAGCCAGATCTATTTAGACCTCTGGCCATAATACATTATTTTGGGACTTACCTTTGTGTTACACAGTCCCTAAGGGAAAACAGCCTAGAGTATGCCAACCCTTTTACTCCTGGCTTCATTGTGGACAAAGGTGACATCTCTCTAGAACAGATTGATGAGGTTGGGACATGCTACCCCAAAATATGGCACCTTGGCATTTGAGAAAATGGCAAAAGCAGGAAGGTCATTCTCATCTTCCCCTTGCCTTTCTCCCTTGAAGCAGATCATAAAACCTTCATTCAAGAAGTGCCCTCTGTATAGCCAGAGGAAAGAAATGTCCTTATCTCTGAAGACTTGGGGACAGAGGGAAGAATCTGAACAAACAGGCCTTACTAAGTGCCCCCAGTTTATTACCATTAGATCATAGTTGTTTCTAAAGAAGGCAAGGCTTCTTCCAGGAAGCCCTCCTCACCCCTCCCACTGTGTTCCCGCAGAGCTAGGGTCACATGACACCAGGAAAGTTGTTCTCACAGACTGGTTGTGCACAGTGCACAGCCTGAGCAACTCTCCATGGAGGCCCCACCTCCTCTGGTGCCTGATGCTTACTCTGTCACAGCTCCCATCCCACAGAGTTTTCTCAGCTTCCTCGTCTCTAAGTTCTGCGTAGGCAGGGCCTGTGATTTATTATTCATGGTAATATGTTCAGTGCTTACATTGGGTTTTGAATATAGTAGGGGTTCAACAATACTTATTGGATAAGTAGGTGGATAGCTGGAGACATAGATGGATGAAGGTCACAATAACTTACCTGCCTGGTTGATAATTTCCTCACTTTAGATCAGGCTTTTGTTGTGTTTGGTTAATTTCTCTCATTTGAATCCAAATAGCTTGACACCATTTCAAAATACAAAAAAAAAATTCTAGTTTGTTGTTTTCTAATTTACTGATTTTTAACTTTTTTAGTCCATTATTACATATCCTTATAGGGATATACTTTCTTTTTTAAAAATAAGGGAAAGATTTTTGTAGGTAGATAAAAAGACAACCCCTGTCCCCACCCCCGCTCAACAACAACCCACACTTTCTAGAACACACCTAGGTTCTAGGGTGTTACTGAGTAAATGGTTTCTCTATGGATCTTTCCATATGGAATAACATTAACAATATAACTTGTCTGCAAAATGGCTTAAGTTTATCCTTGATAAAATGGTGACTCATGGAAAGAGATAATCTTGTGTACTTCTTTCTTTTTTTTTTTTTTGAGATAGGATCTCACTCTGTGACACAGACTGGAGTGCAGTGGCACAGTCATGCCTCACTGCAGCCTTGAACTCCTGGGCTCAAGCAATAACAATCTTTCCACCTCAGCTTCCTGAGTAGCTGGGACTACTGGTGCATGCCACCATGCTTGGCTAATTATTTAAATAATTTTTTTGTAGAGGTGGGCTCTTGGTATGTTGCCCAGGCTGATCTCAGAACTCCTAGCCTCAAACTACCCTCTTGCTTGAGCCTGCCAAAGTGCCAGGATTGCAGGCATGAGCTACCATACCAGCCTTTTTTCCCTAAATGTTTGAAAAATAGAAAAGAAAGGAAGGAAGCTGTGGCAGAGTCCTATTTGAGGTGCATACTAGATATTGCAAGGGAGAATAGATATTTCTCATCTATCACTAGGTTTCTTGGCTGAAGCACCTGTAAAAAAAGACAGGTCATCAAGAGAAGAGCATAAGAGAATTTATTTTATGTAAGTTTTATACGACATGGAAACCTTCAGAAATGCAGACTCAAAGAAACATTTTTGTATTTTTGTATTTTTATGCTAAGTTTGATGAAGTGAATAGTTACAGAGAAGTAGGAGTAGACAAAGAGGGTATGATCTAATGGTAATAAACTGGGGGCACTTAGCAAGGCCTGTTTGTTCAGACTCTTCTCCCTCTCCCCATGTCTTCAGAGACATTTCTTTTTTTCTGGCTATAGGGAGGACATTTCTTTTATCTTCCTGTAAGGAGGGTGCTTCTTGAATGAAACTTTTATGACCTGCCTCAAGGGAGAAAGGCAAGGGGAAGATGAGAATGGCCTTCCTGCTTTTACTATTTCCTCAAATGCCAAGGTGCCATATTTTGGGATAACATGTCCCAACCTCATCAATCTGTTCTAGAGAGATTTCACCTTTGTCCATAATGAAGCCAGGACTCACAAGGTTGGCATACTCTAGGCTGTTTTCCCTTAAGGACTGCGTAATACAAAGGTAAGTTCCAAAATAATGTATTATGGCCAGAGGTCTAAATAGATCTGGCTTTTTCTCAGAGTACTGGTGGACTGAGAAGTATAGATTAGCACACCTTTATTTGAGTTCATAGTGAAAATATATTACCTTATGATATCACACTGCTTACAATTTCCGAAGTGCTTTCATGTCTAACAGCCCTGTGAAGCTGCCACACAGGCACCATTATTTAAATTTTTCAGGTAAGAATGAGGATGCTGTGGCTTACTTTTATTACTAGTGTTTAGTAAGAGCAATTATTAACAATTATCGTTGTTTTTCTTCCTATGATTGAGTAAAATCAGTTCATCCAAAGCCTGTCTTAGCTTTTCTAGAGTTTGTCTCTGAACCCTAATGCCTCAAATGAACTTTTCCAGGTGTCAGAATTCTCAACGCCAAGGCTGAGTTAAATGCCAGCATGCCAGTTTCTTCCAGGCCAAACATGTTGTAATGACCAATTTTTGTGCCAAAAATGTACAAATAGATATTTATATAAATATGAAGAGTAGATAGCCTATTTTTAAAACAAGAAACTAGGCACAAAAATTTAACCTTAAATCAAACCACAGTCATTTTAAGAACAATGGATATAGATATTTTAGCTATATGTTTTAATTCCACCTCTACCACTCCAAAAACAAAAACAAAGATGTTTTTTAAATAACAAGAGATAGAATGTTTCTTTCTTTTTTCTTTTCTTTCCTTTCTTTCCTTTCTTTTCTTTCTTTCTCTTTTCTCTTTTCTTTTCATTTCTTTTCTTTCTTTCAGTAGATGAAAGAATTCTTAAACATTACATTATAGCTGCTTAGCCCGTAGAGTGTAACCTTCTACTGTAGTGGTGAGAGCAGGATGCCAGGCTCAGCCAGTGGGCTCTCCCACTCCCTGACAGTGTATATGTGGACAGAGGCTTGTGGGTTTTTTTTAAAAAAACCTGAGCCAACTTGTTTCTAAATACCAGCATTGCCTACATCGTTGAGTTGTCATGAAATAAATAGGATAAATAGAAATAAATAGGATAAAATAGAAATAAAATAGGATATTTTATTGAAATAAATAGAAATAAATAGGATAAAAATATGCCATCCTTTACGTAAAAGCATTGTTCTTCAAAGCTAGTATTTCCATTTTATTAATTTAGTTATCTTTACAATATAAATCTTATATTTGCTTTTGCCTTTGTACCTATTCTCCCTTTTCTATACTTAAATGGAGGAGGAAGAGAAAAAAATTCCTGGAAACTGATTTAATACCACACTCATTTACCCTCATTAATTCAAAGGGATTCTTACCCATGTTTACTAAGAAACAGATTAGCTAACTTTACATAAAATTTTATTCAAAAATTATTTCCTCAGTTGAATTGACTGTCAGAAAGTCTTTGCCTTTGGGAAAAGAGCGTCAC